TTTTTTTTTTTTTTTTGAATTGCTAGTTTTATTTTTTTTTTAAATTTTTTCTATTTTGTTATTTTAAAATAATTTTGAAACGGCCAAACAAACGTGGGAGGAAGTTAATTTTTTTTTTTGAATTGGCAGTTTTAGTTTTACTTTGAATTTTTTATTTTAAAATAATTTCGAAACTCCATTTTTATTGGACCTTTGTCCTAAAAAGTTAAACTTGGTATTTTATGGCAATGACATTTGGTATCATGATAGTGTTTTGCCTCTCTTTTTCTATATAGATAGACTATTGAGCGGAAAAATAAGTAAAAAGCCAAAAAATTGACAAATAAAATTAATACTATTGCTAGCCATAGATACTGTTACATGTATTTTATTTTCTTAGATTTTATTAATTTATGCACTTTTGGTCTATGGGATATCTATTTTTCGTTTTTTTGTTTTTAATCTTCCTAATTTTATTAATTTCTAAGGTAAATTTTATTCGCTCCAAACTTGTGAGTAAGTTTACGTTAATCTTAACCTCTTTGATTCAAAGGCTGTGAGCTAAGCACCCTACTTATTTTGCTAAATCCTCATTCTTATTCTTCTCCAACCCACTCTAGTAATCCCTCTCACCCTCCCTCCCCAAAAAAAACAGGAAAGAAAAAACTGTATGAAAAAGAATATATAACAACGAAATTTTGTTTGATTAATTAAAATAGAAAAAGAGAAAAAATTGGACAAAAGTATAAAAACGAAATTTATTTCAAATGACAAAGCAATCCCTCATCCTATGTAAATTAGCAAAAAAGCCCTATGTAAGTTCTCTTAGCAAATAAATAAAAGAAAAACCAGCAACTTCACAGTTACAAAGTAATCCCAAGCCGCCTCCATTAGCGTTCCCCTATTTTTGAATTGAACTTTCCTCCTCTCTATCAAACTCCACACCAATCATTGTTGTTCAATAGCTCATCAGGCAAAGTGTTGTTGTACACAAACAGAGAGCGGAAAGGTACAACAGAAGATGGCAGTGGCTGCTTATGGTCAGCTGAATCTTGAAGAATCGCCATTGTGGGGTTCTCGAAGTGTCGACTGCTTCGAAAAGCTTGAACAAATCGGTGAAGGAACTTATGGGTCTGTTGCTCAGCCTTTCCCCCCCCTAGAAATTTACATTCTCTTGTTTTGCCTCTTATTTTGATAAATTATTGCTTTATTTCTCAGTTTTTTTTAATAATCGACGAGGATGGGTTGCTTTTTTGCCTCATTAAATAGAAAATAGGAGCTTTTGGTACATTTGGGATTGGTTCATTGGTATGTTATTTTTGTATTTTGCTCTTGTACTCTTTGTGGGTAAATGAGAATCTTTTATTGTGGTTTTGTCTTAGTTTGTTGTAATTCCATTGCTTTGTGATCTGATATTAGGTTGTTATTGAGTTTGTTTTCTGTGAAAATAGCGATTGGACCATTGAATTAATCTGTTGGAAAATAGGCCATGTGAAGCTTATATAAAGACTTATTGAGCAAAAGGCATGCCCGGAAAATAGCTGTCCCATTTATCAAACAAGGGTTTTTTTTCCACGTTAATGACTTAACATCTTTCTTTTCATGCCTCAAGAATATGTAATGTTATTTCTTGTGTAGCCCTTTGTATCTGAACTTAAAAATGTTATCGAAGGTCGCCTTTTGTTCTTTTTAGTTGTGTTTCATTCTAACCATATTGAAGCTGATTAGTCGNCCCAGTGTCCGTAGAAGATAATATGGAAATCAAGAGCCCCATATAAAGTTGCATGCTTTATGTGGATAGCAGCCCACTTGTTCCTGCATTGTAAAAAATTTTAATTTGAATTAAGCTAGAATAGTCAATCTTAAGTTAAGATATATAATGTATTTACTGAGTAATACCTTAAACATGAGATTCTTTGAGATTTTATTCAATCTATTAGTAATTTGTATAACTTGTTTGAATAGATAACTAAACTTGACTAAGCCCGCGTCCTCCAAGGAGAGAGTTTGCTTTACCCAACTCCCTTTTTGATAACAAGGCAGAAATCCCCGACCAGACACTTGTTAGTTTCGAATGAAGAATGAAAACTGCCCAGCCCTAGCAAGCACCTACTCCTATCAAAAAGTGTTACAGCAAGACAGTCGTGGGACCTGTTCTTGGACATTTTTGGGCAGCATTGATAATGGCACAGTCAATCAGACAATTATTGGATGGTCGGTGGAGTTGCAGCTTTCACAAGTCTCTTAAGAAGTATTGGAGGACTAACCCAGTATGTGTCTGTTGGATATTATGGAAGGAGAGGAACTTTAGGTGTTTTGAGGGCAGAACTAGCTCAATTCAGATTCTAAAATACAGAAGTTTAGGCCTGCTGGCATCTTCTTGCAATCTACAGATTTGTATGATGAAATTGCATGATAGATTTTATTGACTCACTACAGGGGTAATTTTGTACAGGGGAGCATCTTCTTTCTGTTTTCGTATGGCGGCGTCTCATTCTGTAATGTCCAGCACTAGCTTAGTGCGTCCCTGCTTTTTGTTTTTGTTACTAAAAATATAACTTACTGATAGTAAATGGCCATGTCATGCAATAAGGATGCAATTGTCACTATTGATTGGGATCATATTGCAACTATTGTAATTGGTGACTAGATGAAGTTGATTCAATTCAGAGATGACTCCCCCAACTTTGCATTTGTTGATATTTCAATGGTTGCTTCATGGTTTGTATGCTTAGCATGATTGTCACTGTTACTTTTTTCCAGGCAAGTGTACATGGCCAGAGAAAAGGCAACTGGGGAAATTGTTGCTTTGAAAAAGATACGTATGGACAATGAGAAGGAGGGGGTACAGTTCTTTTCCCCAATCATCACACTGTTTTAGATTTGTATTTATCCCTTTTAAATGTTAGAGCTTATTTTGACTAATGGATTGCAGGCCTGAAATTGATAATATGGTAAATTTTGGTTAATTGTTGCAGTTCCCAATAACAGCCATCCGCGAGATTAAAATTCTAAAGAAATTGCAACATGAAAATGTCATTCAGCTAAAAGAGATAGTAACCTCCCAAGGTACTTTGTCTCTTAATGTTAACTGCTATATTTTTTGAAACTTTGCCTAAGTTTGGTTAACTTTTATTGTCAGTTCTGACATGAATTTCTCTTCTAGGTCCTGAAGGGGATGAACAAGGGAAGCTAGGTATTCCAACTAAGAATTTTCTTATTGATAGTGAAATTCCTTTCCCAATGTTTGCAGAAATTAACATTCATGAATTTCAATTTTCTTTGAGGAACAGATAATAACAAGTACAAGGGAAACATTTACATGGTTTTTGAATACATGGATCATGACTTGACTGGACTTGCTGATCGACCAGGGTTGAGATTCACAATTCCGCAGATTAAAGTATCGTAAGCCTAGATAGCAGAAAAAGATTTATACTTCTTCTGATTGTGATGACCGTCTATTCACTGCACATTTATTGATGGTATTACTTTTTCCAGTGCTACATGAAGCAACTCCTTACTGGTCTTCATTACTGCCATGTTAATCAAGTTCTTCACAGAGATATCAAAGGTTACTTTTCATTTAGTTCTCTGTATGTAACATATTGATCTTTGCACGTGTTACTGGAAGCTTGTGACACTTGTTTCCTTTCATTTTATGTTTGCAGGCTCTAATCTTCTGATAGATAATGAAGGAAATCTGAAGCTTGCTGATTTTGGTTTAGCACGGTCATTTTCTGGTGATCACAATGCTAATCTGACAAATCGTGTTATTACTCTGTGGTACAGGTTAATCTAAAGCCTGTTAAAGCATTCTGCTTCTTACTTTTCTTGTATCACTGTAGCACTCTGAAAATTTTCTGCTCTTTCTAGACTAATATACTATAATCTTGGACAGACCTCCAGAGTTGTTGCTTGGAGCCACAAAGTATGGCCCAGCTGTTGACATGTGGTCCGTTGGTTGTATATTTGCTGAACTTCTATTCGGGAAGCCAATCTTACCTGGAAAAAATGAGGTAATATCCTCTAGAACTTTGCTCTGCTTTTGTAGGTGCTGTAGGACGTAGGTAGGTGTCAGTAGCTTCACTTTACAAGTTTACCTGTTACTAGTGGTCCATGGAATCTTTGCTAATGTGCTATTGCCTCTATTCGTAAAGAATATCTTTTACTTCTGTCAGATGGCTTACTAATCAAATTCTCTGGCTAACATTTTGACAGCAGTGAAGGATTTTTTATTAGAAAACAACTTATTTGAACTTGATCTCACAACCAATTGAATAAGTTGAATAGGAAAGATTTTCTTAGCTAGTTTCTTCTATTTGATCTTGTTAGCTAGGCCCGTGATTAATAATCTCCATGTTAAGGACTAACAACAAGCAAAATTTCGGAGTAGCATGGACAAGGATTCAGCTCATTAGGGCACATTCTGAAAATTTAGGGGAGATCACATGAACAACAGAAGTATTAAGTCCTCTGTTATATGATGGTAATTGATTAGAAAGCGAGCTTAAGATGTTAATTGACTTATGTGAGAAGGCAGGGGAGAAAATATGTTATTGATATTGGATGATAAATACAATACAAGAGGTCCCTATTTATAACTATACACTACAATGGAGATATTATTCTGCTTCCAATGTGGGACAAGACTACACTATACATACCTGTAAACTAACACTCCCCCTCAAGCCGGTGCATACACATCATATGTACCGAGCTTGTTACATATGTAACTAATACGAGAACCAGTAAGAGACTTAGTGAAAATATCTGCTATTTGATCATTCGATTTTACAAACTTTGTAACAATATCTCCTGAAAGTATTTTTTCTCAGACAAAGTGACAGTCGATCTCAATGTGTTTAGTCCTCTCATGGAACACCGGATTTGACGCAATATGAAGAGCAGCTTGGTTATCACACACTAGTTCCATCTTGCTGATTTCTCCGAACTTTAACTCCTTGAGCAACTGCTTGACCCAAACTAACTCACACGTCGCCATAGCCATGGCCCGATATTCGGCTTCGGCGCTAGATCGAGCAACTACATTCTGTTTCTTGCTCTTCCACGAGACCAAATTACCTCCTACTAGAACACAATATCCAGACGTAGAACGTCTATTAAAAAGTGATCCTGCCCAATCAGCATCTGTGTACCCAACAATCCGTTCGTGGCCTCGATCCTCGAATAGTAATCCTTTGCCTGGAGCTAACTTTATATACCAAAGAATGCGAACAACTGCATCCTAGTGACTATCACAGGGAGAATCCATAAACTGACTTACAACACTCACCGGAAAAGAAATGTCAGGTCTAGTCACTGTGAGGTAATTCAATTTGCCAACCAACCTCCTATATCTCGTAGGGTCTCTAAGAGGCTCCCCCTGTCCAGGCAGAAGCTTAGCATTCGGATCCATAGGAGAGTCAATAGGTCTGCAACCCATCATTCCAGTCTCCTCAAGAATGTCTAAGGCATACTTCCGCTGTGAAATAACAATACCTGAGCTAGACTGAGCGACCTCAATACCTAGAAAATACTTCAATCTGCCCAGATCCTTAGTCTGGAAGTGCTGAAAGAGATGTTGCTTCAGATTAGTAATACCATCCTGATCATTACCAGTAATAACAATATCATCAACATAAACCACTAGATAAATACACAGATTAGGAGCAGAATGCCGATAAAACACAGAGTGATCAGCCTCAATCCGAGTCATGCCGAACTCTTGAATAATTGTGCTGAACTTACCAAACCAAGCTCGAGGGGACGGTTTCAAACCATATAGTGACCTGCGCAATCTGCACACACAACCATTAAACTCCCCCGAGCAACAAAACCAGGTGGTTGCTCCATATAAACTTCTTCCTCAAGATCACCGTGGAGAAAAACATTCGTAATGTCTAACTGATAAAGATGCCAATGACGTACAACAACCATGGACAAAAAGAGACGAACATATGCCACTTTAGCCACGGGAGAGAAAGTATCACTATAATCAAGCCCAAAAATCTGAGTATATCCTTTTGCAACAAGACGAGCCTTAAGCCGATCAACCTGGCCATCCAGGGCGACTTTGATTGCATAAACCCAACGACAACCAACAGTAGACTTACCTGTAGGAAGAGGAACAAGCTCCCAAGTGCCACTCGCATGTAAAGCAGATATCTCGTCAATCATAGCATGTCGCCATCCTGGATGAGATAGTGCCTCACCTGTAGGCTTAGGGATAGAAATAATGGACAAAGAAGATATAAAAGCATAATGAGGTGACGACAGACGATGATAACTTAAACCAATATAGTGGGGATTAGGATTAAGTGTGGATCGTACACCTTTGCGGAGTGCAATTGGTTGACTAAGAGGATACAAGTCCGCAGTAGGTGCAGAATCTGATGTGGGGCGTGAATCACCTGGTCCTGATGCTGGATGTGGACGGCGATGTTAAGTCAAGAGTGGTGGAGCTGCAGAAGGTTGAACTGGATTATGCGGAGGAACTGGAGCTATAGGTGGTGGAGCTATAACCAGAGCTGTAGGTAGTGGAACTGGAGCTATAGGTGGTGGAGCTACAACTGGAGTTGTAGGTGGTGGAGCTGGAGTGACTGAATCTCCAAAAGATGAAACTGGTAGTACCTCAGAAATATCTAAGTGATGACCTGAACCTGTGAAGTATGATTGGGTTTCAAAGAAGGTAACATCAGCGGACATAAGGTACCGCTGGAGGTCAGGAGAGTAGCATCGATACCCCTTTTGTGTTCTCGAGAAACCCAGAAATACGCACTTAAGAGCACGAGGAGCTAACTTATCTGTTCCTGGAGTAAGGTTATGGACAAAACAAGTGCTTCCAAAGATACGGGGTGGAAGAGAGAACAAAGGTAAATGGGGAAACATGACAGAGAATGGAACTTGGTTCTGGATAGCTGAAGATGGCATACGATTAATAAGATAGCAAGATGTAAGAACTGCATGCCCCCCAAAACGCAACGGAGCATGAGATTGTATGAGTAGGGTACGAGCAGTTTCAATAAGATGACTATTCTTTCTTTCAGCTACCCCATTTTGTTGAGATGTGTACGGACAAGATGTTTGATGAATAATCCCATGAGATTTGATAAACTGTTGAAATGGGTAAGACAAATACTCTCGGGCATTATCACTACGAAATGTGCGAATAGAAACCCCAAATTGATTTTTAATTTCAGCGTGGAAGGTCTGGAAAATAGAAAACAACTCAGATCGACTTTTTATCAAAAATATCCAAGTGCACCTGGAATAATCATCAATGAAACTGACAAAGTAGCGGAATCCCAATGTGGAACTGACCCGACTAGGATCCCAAACATCTTCTGAATGGACTAAAGTAAAAGGTGACTCTGCTCGATTATCAAGACGCTGAGGGAAATGGGAGCGAGTATGCTTACCGAGCTGACATGACTCACACTCTAGAGCTGACAAGTGAGATAAACCAGATACTATTTTCTAAAATTTTGACAAACTGGGATGTCCCAATCGTTTATGTAATAAATCTGGTGAATCAGTAACATGCCAAGTTGTAGAAGGAAGACAAGATGCGAGTCCATGTGATTTAGCAAGGATAAGGTAATAAAGTCCGTTTGATTCACGTCCGGTACCAATGATCCGCCCCGTACTGTGTTCCTGTATAAAAACATGGTCATCAAGAAATAAAACAACACATTTAAGTGATTTGGCTAAGCGACTAACAACTATGAGATTAAAAGGACTATTGGGAACATAAAAGACTGAATCTAAAGGTAAGGAAGGAAGTGGGCTTGCTTGACCTATTGCAGTTGCCATGGTTTGAGACCCATTGGTCATTGTGACTTTTGGAAGAGATTGAGAATACGAAATAGTAGTGAAAAGAGATTTGTTACCAGAAATATGATCTGATGCACCTGAATCAATGACCCAAGACTCAGAGGATGAAGATTGGGAGAAACAAGTCACACTATTACCTGTTTGAACAACAGAAGCTATCTCAGAATATGTCTGCTTACATGTTTTATACTGAAGGAACTCAATATAATCTGCTAAAGAAACCATCCGACTATTCAAAGCATCGGTTCCCATGTCGCTACAATTTGTCGTAGTAGGGTTAACTTGAAATAGTGGAAATAAGTAACTCCTGTGAGAAAACTGAAGAAATAGCTTGAAAAACACTGTTTACAAAAGAAAAAACAGAACACTGTTCTGTGCAGGAAACACTGTAGCTCGCCGGAAAATTCCAAAGTTGTCGGAATTTGTCGTAACTAGGATGGATAGACTCGGAATTCCCTTGCGAGCAATCTGTCCTGAAGAAATATTTTTCAAAAAATGGCCGGAAAGATCACTGTTCACGCCGGAAAAATATAAAAGTGGTCGGAATTTGATTTGAATTAGATGGGTAGGCTCGGAATTTTGAGAAGAGCACACTGTCCTGAAGAAGCTTCGCGAAAAAATGGCCGGAACCCTCGCCGGAAAAGTTGTTGCCGGCGCGTGGAGGAGCGTGGCGGCTTTTTTGCCGGATAAAATTTCAGGTGTTGGTCGTCGGAGGGTGATCTACCTCGTGGTGGTGTTGGTTTTAGCACAACACCGACAGAAAGTGACTTTCACTTAGACAAGCTTTAGGTCACCGAAAAAATTGCACGATGACTAAGTTCTTTCTTCCCGGTTAACGTTGGAATGATGCACATCGATCTTTTCTCACTAATGCTCTGATACCATGTGAGAAGGCACGGGAGAAAATATGTTATTGATATTGGATTTTAAATACAATACAAGAGGTCCCTATTTATAGCTATACACTACAAGGAGATACTACTCCTCTTCCAATGTGGGACAAGACTACACTATACATATCTGTAAACTAACAATAACTATATACTACAAGGAGATATTATTCCTCTTCCAATGTGGGACAAGACTACACTATACATATCTGTAAACTAACAATAACTATATACTACAAGGAGATATTATTCCTCTTCCAATGTGGGACAAGACTACACTATACATATCTGTAAACTAACAACTTATGTATTATATTAGTAGTAGTAGAAGAAAATTTTAAGTTGGTAACGTAATTGTAAAGTTTGCTGATAGACAAAATATCATATCAAAGTTAAAACTTTGCATAGTTAATGAATCTGAATACTTCAAAATGTTGTATAGGATAATATTATTATTAGTGGAATGATGTCATATGGCGTGCCTGTATCTGCAATAAGATTCTGAAATGTATTATTAGGCCATGGTATTAGGAACTCGAGGATGTGATTGAGTGAAGTCAGATGCATAGACTTATTCCTTTCTGGTGAAAGGAAGAAGTCTGGTAGAAGTTGAGAACATCACGCAGTTCGTGAAATCCCTTTCCAATTCAATGTCTTTAAGCTAATTTAATCTGCTTCTCTTGCTGTGTGCGCCTCTTCTATTTTTTTCCTGTGTCTCTTGCTTCAGCGTCATCTTTTGTGCTCACTTTTTTGTACAATGTTATGATTCTGTTGGCTTTGTTGAAGATCAAGTCCCTCACTCTTACTCTTTTCTGATTACAGCCTGAACAGTTGACCAAAATATATGAGCTTTGTGGAACCCCTGATGAAATTAATTGGCCTGGTGTATCAAAGATTCCTTGGTATGGCAAGTTCAAGCCAGCAAGGCCAATGAAAAGACGAGTTAGAGAGGTCTTTAGGCAGTTAAGTGTTCTCTCTTTGAAATGCTGAGTTGTTTGAACTACTTGTTTTTGTAACTTGTCTAACATACTTAGTTCTTATTCATTGTGCAGTTTTGATCGCCACGCTTTGGATTTATTAGACAAAATGCTGACTCTTGATCCATCTCAGGTATTTTCCTTAATGTGGTTATAATAACTAAATCTCAAACTACATTGGTTTACTTTGTGCCAATATTTTGGAGGTGTTTCTTAAAGGTCTGAACATATCAAAAGTGCTCAAGTACAGAAAACTATAAGGATCAAACTCTCTTTTGCATCAAGAATATAGTTTTTATTATTTAATAATTTCTTCATCAAAAAAAAAGAAAGAAGAAAATAATATTGTTTTTTTGGGCATCTGAACTTATTCATGAAGTCAACATGTACACTCTTTGAGAGTTCCTTTCTGTCTAAAGGCACTACCCTGTTCATTAGTCTATCGCTATTCTGAATATGTAGATTGTTAGTTACTGCTGCAATTTGTACGCTCAATTGATTTGCTCTTGTCTGGTGTTACCAGAATTTGAAGAGGGTTGGTTGTGTGTTTCTTAGTTCCCATAAGGATTATACCAGAACATATTGTAAAGCAGTCACCTTTGTTAATAAATACAGTTCTTATTTCCCACCCTTTTGATGCGATGCATTTTGACTGGACAAACATATGAAGTTAATTAAGCATTTGCAATTACTCTGTTCCTATCTTATTTGATGTATGTTAAGACCTAAACGTGTAAAAAAAAATTGAAAAATGAAATGGGCAGGTTGATCGTCTGTAAAAGTGAAATGAATGAATGGTGAATGGTGGTTAGAAGTTGTGATTATAATAGTGTTGGCATACCCATAATTAGGGCATGCGGGTTAGTGAAGTGCATGATTTACAAAGGTTGGTTGATACTTTGGGCTATCAGATAGGAGCTTCCCTTGATTTTGAAATGGAAGAACTTACCTTTCCAAAAAAAGAAAAAGAAATGAAAGAACGTTATCGGTGTTCTATGTGCTAGAGATGCCCAACAAAGTGAAAGAGTAGTGTTTTAAAACGGTTGTGAGACTAGTGATGTTATGTGGTGGTGAATATTGGGCTTCTAAGGCGTAATCCACTAGATGAATGTTGTAAAAATGCAGATGTAAAAAAGGGTGTCTGATCATAAATACTGGACAAGGTTAGGAATGATCACATTCAACAGATGGTGCAAGTGGCAGACAATTGGATTAAAAGCGAGGTCGCTTTGGCCATGGCGTAAATGGACTTGTATCCACAGATGCACCAATATGATGATTAAAAAGTGATAAAAAGGACGAGGTAACATGAAAGGAAGGTATCTAAGAGACCTACATCTCTCATGACCAATGCATACTTAGCTAAGGATAGAACAAAACGGGATCTAAAGATTCACGTAGGCACCAACCAGTTTGGATTAAGGTTAGTTGCTGTTATATTTACACTAGTTTGGATCAAGGGTAGGTGACAAAGCTAGCTGCTGTTACCTGGTATTTGTTAGGATTTTCTTTTATTATGTACAACTTGTATGTTTATATAGGGGTAAGAAAGATTTTAGAGAACCCCAAATTTATTATACAAGCCAAATTATTTAATATGGAATGAGATGGACCTAAATAGAGTGGAAAGGTTACGAGGATACATATATTCAATCCCAACTAATATGGGATTGAAGTGTTGTTGATTGTTTTTCAAAAAACCTGGACGGAAAAATAGCGCTAGTAAACTGGAAACAGTTTTCATCTATCTTGATGCATTTCCCTTCTGACTTATATGTATCTTTTACTTCTTTTGCCTTGTTATTTCCAGCGCGATCTAGATTTTGCTTTTTCTTGAGCAAGCCAGCATGAGTTATTGAAAGCCAACAAAATGGAGCTCTATCAGTTTTATTTATATATTTATTACTTCAAAAGGACAACAGACTTTTGTCATTTTTATTATCTTGTGTAACCCAGTGCAGATATCTTCCGTTCTTGCAGAGACATCTGAACTCTACTTCAATGTCTTTAAATTATATTATAAGCTGTTTGACGCATATGGCACGTTTTCTGTTCATATAATAATTCCAATTTTGATCGACACCTCTTTTTCTGCAGAGAATATGTGCAAAGGATGCTCTAGATGCTGAATATTTCTGGACCGACCCTTTACCTTGTGATCCTAGAAGGTGCACCTCATTTACATCCACATTTCTCGGTGCTGTTTGTGCATATTGTATTCTCTGCAATGGATCTGGAAACATCTTGGCCAATGTTCTTACCTGAGATTTTTATGGGTTAATAAACGTTAGTTAAAGCATATCCTGAGATATATTATGATATGTATACATATATATCTTTTCATCTAACAACTTGTTTCCACTCTGTTAAACAGCCTACCAAAATATGAATCATCACACGAGTTCCAGACTAAGAAAAAACGGCAACAGCAGCGACAGAATGAAGAAATGGCCAAAAGACAGAAGCTGCAGCACCCACAGCAACATTCACGCCTCCCTCCTATCCAACAGTCTGGGCAAGGTCATTCCCAGCACTGGGGTGGACCTAATCATCAAACCCAGCCTGCAATATCTGCTGGAGCTGGTCATCATCAATATGGAAAGCCTCGTGGTCCTGGAGGGCAAAATCGGTATCCTCCAGGTGGAAACCCTGGTGGGGGGTATTATCAAGATCGTGGGGCACAAGGCGGAGGTTATAGTAGTGGGACATATCCACCTCAGGGACGAGCCCCACCTTATCCTGGTAGTGGGGTGGCTTCCAGTGGTCCTCGGGGACCAAGTGGTGGCTATGGTGTTCCTCCTAGTTACTCCCAAAGTGGTCAATATGGAGGTTCTGGTGCAGGGAGAGGTTCAAACCAAATGAGTGGAAACCGTAACCAGCAGTATGGTTGGCAGCAATAGAGTCAGACCTGTTATGCAACTCACTGGCTAGACAGCATCAAAGGAAACCATTAACAATTGTAAGAACTTGTGGTCGGATGCAACAAATTTAGCAATTGGTTTATCTACAAGAGTACATGTACATGTAAAGTCATGCTATTTTGTGAAGGGAATCTGTGTGGTTCATTTTTGGCTTAGGTATACAATTTTTTGACACCCTAATTCTTTTATATAGCAATTTCTGTATACACTTTCAGAACCTTGGATATGCATCTAAGCTGATGGCCCTTGCAGTTATTGTTGATGGTTGACACTATACTCCGTGCAACTAACTGCTGCCTAAATGAATTAAACAAATTTCCAAATCTCCACCATACCATGTTTAGGGGAATTGCCTCATAATTCAGCCCATGCATTAAGATCCGAATCACTTCTCTATTCACTAAAGTTTGATTAGTGAATAGATGGAAGAGATTTGTAAGTAGGCATGGAAGTAGAAGAAATATTGGTTGATCTTGTATACTTCCGCATTTTGGTTTAGGGGTTGGAGTCATAACTTGAATCCTTTTTGTACCTGGAATTTTAGAACCACGAAATCCTATGAACTAAGTTGAGTTCAGATATGAATCAACTAGCATCATCTGAGTTTGTCTCGTAAGGAAAAGTAGTCTCATCTGAATTCTGATATAAAGTTGAAAAGGCAAATCTGTAGCTTTTTGGCTAAAAAAAGAGATGCATGAGAAAGAAAAGGCAGAATAAAGTTTTGAAATTAGATAAAGAATTACAGTAGCTGAGCACACACCCTAAACTGAAGAGTTTGTCTTTGAAACTTAAATTATCACATACACTACATATCCTTTTTCCCTTTTATTGTTGGAAATATAGATGGTAAGCTTCCACCATCCACTGTACAAGGCAACAACCTAGATATATATGCTTCACATTTCATGTCAACTCATTAGAAAATCTTTGACAAACTACAGAGAAGTAGCAAATAATAAAATTGATGAATAGAGGGAGAAATTGAGTTCAAAATTGGAAATAAGCTAAACTCATTTTTCTACTATCAGCTAGTGCTTCCATTGGAGACTCTCTCGTAAAATAAGATGTACCCATGATCTGTATTGCTGGAATACTCCTGAGCTGAACCAAAGAAAGTTTGAACAGCCGACTCATCAATCATCTCGACATTCTCATCATCAAAGAACAACCAGTGGTTGTGACTCTTCACAAGGCTCACGTAGTGTCCATGGTTTGGTCCACTCCCAACATGGACTACCACAGCGAATAAGGAATACTCCGCATCTGCATCCTCAACTGTATTGCTTAGCTTCAGCTCAAGTGGGAAGACAACGCGGTAAGAGAGCTTCTTATACCGACCAAGTTGTTCAATGTACTTAAATCGCTTCAAGTGGATAACCAGGATGTGAGGGGGCTTTTTAATCTTCATCCTCTTCTGAGCTTCCTGCAAGCTAAGTTCTCAAAAATGGTGAATTAGTTGGTTTGCTGCAGCTATGTCACCTAGGTATATGCGTCGAAGGGGGTGACCGACAGAAGAACCCAAAGAAAAAAAGAAAAAAAAAAGAAAAAAAGACAACACATTATACCTGCAACACTTGTCACAGAAGAATTTATCCTCTGCATTCAAAGTTTCTGTGGAACTAAAATTCTTCAGGCAGCTAGTTATTGAACTGTTCTGTTCAATGTCGAGGCTCAAATCAAGAAATGTCTCATCTCTTGCAGTTACAGTCTCACAACGCAAACACTTTGTTTCATTTGTGAGTATACCCTGGAAGTAAATAAAGTCAATTAAAGAGTCTAGTGCGTACTAGTTTAACAGAGAAATCAAAACTCCAGATAAAATACTCTTTTTTTTTTCCAAGGTTAGTACCACTCGTATTTTCATTTCCATAACCGTCAAAGAAATGATGTTAAAATCTTAGTTCTACTTCTGAATTCTGCCTCTTTTTTTCCTTCCTTTCTTTTAGTTTTGATAAGAGAGGTCAGACATCTCTGCACATTGCGGTATAAGGATGCAATATCAGGCACTTACTGACCTACTAGGTTTGTGGAGAATATACAAGAAGAGCAGACTGATTAGTGAAAAATCAATCAGCTATCCCTTGATCTGAAAATGGTTGGCTCGACTATAAGAATCCTTATGACCACTCCGCTCTATTCAGGCTTTGTTCATTCCAATACTAATAATTTGTCAATTAAAATAAATTAGAAAACCAGGAGTTCTCTAAATCTCTCACTTATCTCCTACACTGACATATAACTCTCTAAAACAAAAAACAACCCTTGACAGAGCTAATACAAGTGTTATTAAATAATAAACAACAACTACACCTCAATCCCAAATAAATTGGGTCAAATGTATGAATCCCCACTGACTATGTTTCTCCGTTTAAACTCATCTCAAACCAATATTATATAAAATAAAATAAAAACAATAAATAGTATTAGAAATTCTCTATATTTTCTAATAGTATATAAATGTTTGATAGGGTTAAATAACTCCTGGAAATGTTGGACTTAAAAGTAAACGTACTAACATAATTAAAACACATGCCCAAGTCCCATCTAACTCGTTTCACCTATTTAGATCTTTCTTTTCAATTGAGACCTATCTTTCGCTAAGTTTGCATGGATTCCAAGAAATTGCAGGTCTTTCTGGACAACTTCCTTACATGTGATTTTAGGTCTACGTCGTTCCTTCTTAACACCTTCACTCACCATGGTTTCACACCTACAGACCAATGTATCTAGAGGCCAATGCAGGACATAGCCAAACCATTTCAAGCGCCATCCTCTTATTTTATTCTCGATTTGTGCTACTTACACCTTCTGGCGAATGTAGTCATTTTTAATTTTATCTAATCTTCATATGACAAATCCATCTTAGCATTCACATATTTACGTCACTCATATGTGAATGTGTTGGACCTAGCAATCCAACATTCACTTCCATACAATATTACTGGTCTTATAATTGTTCTATAGCACTTACCTTTCACTTTGGTATGGATCCTTCTATCACATAGCACACCAATAACATTTCTCCATTTCAACCATTCGATTTTGATTCTACGTGTAACAACTTCATCTATCATTCCATTCCCATGGAATAAGCATTTAGGCACCGCAAGCCCGTCTAATCTCACCCCAGCTTCACTCTTCTTATGCTGACTAAACTTGTCGTACCTATATTCCGTTTTACTTTTACTTATCCTAAAACTTTACTCTTTAAAGTACTTCTCCACAATTCAAGCTTCTGGTTATCACCCTCACTAGTTTCGTCAATTAGCACAATATCTTCAGCAAATAGCATACCCTCATGTGACCTTATCGTGTATCATGTTGGACCTAATTAGTTGGTATGTCCCATAGGCATCTTTTACTTCCATTGTTTCTAACCTTAACTAGGTCCGCATAAAATTGGAGATTGTAAATCTTTTGTGACGACTTTTTTTCATATGATTTTAGATTTACCTCCTCCTTTTTTCATATCCTCAATCTCTAAAGTGCAACATCAACGGGCCAGTGCATATATAAGTCTACATAGACATGGCTAAACCACAGGGTGATCTTATGCCATATCATTCTCTACCTGTGCTACTTGCTCCCTCGGTCAGATGTGATAATTTTAGATCTTGGTCAGTCTTATATAACTGTCTATCCATATTAACATCCACAATTTTAGGATGTTAGCTTTGTGGACACATTGGATCTTAGATGTCGAATATTTACGCATGTCTGACGCTGCTGGTCTCACAATAGTTTCATAGAACTTGCCTCTCACTATTGCTAGGTATCTTCCTATCACATAGCACTGCCATAACACTCCTCCATTTCGACCATCATATACATTGTTAGCCTGTCAGGTATATTCATATCGCATAACATTCCAGTAGCACTTCTCCATTTCAGCGATCCTTTCTGAATTCTTTGTGTTCTATATAGTATTTATCATGTCATTTTCAGCCTAAATATCCAAATTGTCTCAATTTAACAACCACAAGCTCGTGAAATCTCACTTGCTTTCATTCTTCTTATGGAGGCAAACTTACCATGCATATATTCTTACTTGATAAGAAACCCTTATATTTAGAGTTCACATCAAGCTTTGATTGATTTCTTCACTAATTTTGATGTCTATCATAACATCATTTGCGAGCATGCACCATTTCAAGTATGGGCTCAAAGCAGATCCTTAATGTAAACTAACAGTTCTTTTTTATCACTCAAAATATTCTTTATTTCCTTGTTTATAGCCAGAGACTAAAAAAGGTACATGGCAAGACTAATGTAAGATCCAATCATAAAGTACTGTGCACCAGACAACCTAATTTAAACAGGCCCGCTGCAGATGAAACTGTAAAAAGAAGGCATACAATTTGCCAGAAATGACAGTTTATAAGCTGATAACCACCAAGACAAGCAAGCGTACCTGGAAATTTTTGTGCACCCATGTGACCAGGGGCTCCTTTTTAGCCCCATTAACATGAATACTGGTTGGTCCATTTGCAATCTTTTCTGTTGGGGAAGAAGTTTCTTGATCGCTTTTAGCAGCACTGGCTTCTTTCTCCAGTATGTCAACCAGTTCGTTCAGCAAATAGTTCAAAAATTCGTGCGCGTCCTAACAGAGAAAGATATATATAAACATGAGTGGTGGGGAAGTGCATCAGAGCATATATGCACCAACACATAAAGGAGAAATAAAGAGTAACTGATGAATACTCAAAAGTCAAAAGCCTATAGCAGTCAATTCTGTTTGATCAGTATCATTTAGTTAACAATTATTAGGAATGCGAGTCCAAATAATTTCTGGGACAAACTTCAGAGAAAACAAGTCTTAAACAAAGCAGGATCTGATGCCCTCCACAAAGGAGAACACTGAGCAATTTGAATATCCAAAAACACACTTAGCTTGTAGTCACTAAAATAACATGATAACTAATGTTTGCAAACTAGCACATCAATAATTAAAGTTTCATATGGACAAACAAAAAGGCAGAGAGAAGTCTTCACAGATAACAAATAGAAGCCCCTGAGGCAGGGGGGACAGGCTTTGAGAGTTCCCCTCAAGCTAAATACAGCAGCATCTCACTTTCATAATATTAGAGGTTGTACACTAGATATTAAAGCAATGATATTCTCCTCTGCAACACAATCAACTCTAAGCAGGCGATTTTCATTCGATCTGGAGCAGATCTGATCATTTGACCGGCCTAGGAAAAGGATTACCAGTTCAACACATTTAAATTTCTCAATCACACACTGGCTCAAGAAAA